CGACCCAAGTAAAACCGAAATGGTTTTATTTACTAGGAGGTATAAGATCCCAAATGAGCCTCTCTCCCCTTTCGGGAGTTCACGTCTCCAACCTGTTGCTAAGGTGAAATACCTAGGGCTCATTCCGCCTGAAAAACGCTACAGTGGTCCGGTAGCCTGAAGCAAAAATTGACGGAGAGCTCTTTACAGAAAACCCCCCCTGCAACTTTCCCTCCTAGCTTCGACCCATCCGTGAAAAAGCTCACAGCGCCTCCATATTTTCCTTATAAGTAGCTCTCTTGCTCTCTTCTAAATATTTGGCCTCAATGAAAGCTTTGTATTAAAGGTATGTATCCTAGGTATTTCACCTTATCAACAGGGTGAAGACGTGAACCTCCAAAGGAGGGGAAAGGCATGTTTGGGATCCTATACCTCATAGTAAATAAAACCATTTCAGTTTTACTTGGGTTAACGGCTAAGCCGCTTCTATGGGACCTGTTGGATACTACGTCGGTTAGCTTATAGGCAGTGTTTAAAATTTTACTTTAACCATAAGAACAGCGTCGTCAGCATAGGCTATCCCCCGACAACCTCGTTCGAGTTTTTTAAATAGGTCGTTAACCACCAGGCAGTAACCACCTCAAACTTTTCGAAGGCTTTAATAACTGCCGGTCGTACATTGTTGAAGGTGCTCTCGATGTCAAGAAAGGTACACCAAAATTTTTGTGTACCCAAACACAGTGGTTTACTTAAAAAAGTGCATTTATTTAAATGAAGGGAAACTTGGATTACAATTGACAACACAGTTTTTATAGTTTTGTTGTATTCCGTGAATTAAAATCGTGCATCTGTGTACATAAGATCAAGGAAGACAAATCTCAAAATGAGAAATGTAAGTAAACATCAACGTTATTTTGCCATACACGTTATTTTTAGGGAATATTATTAAAAAAACTAACACTATAAGTGTGTGCGGTATGTAATTAAAATTGGAAGAGGAATGAAGAGTTGTAGACAATTAAAGTATAAATTACCAGTCTTTAAGGTCTAGCTGATTACCAAGCCACATTTAAACTTGGTAGTATACCCGAAACATATAGCTGCTCATCAACATCATTTTTATACTCTCGCAACCTGTTGCTACAGAGTATAATAGTTTTGTTCACCTAACGGTTGTTTGTTTCACCTAAAACTAATCGAGTTAGATATAGGGTTATATATATATAAATGATCAGGCAAGCTCTAACTTGAGTAAAAATTGCCATATCTTTATGAAACTTGGTAGACATGTTTCTTGGTATCGTGAGACGGTTGGTATTGCAGATGGGCGTAATCGGACCACTGCCACGCCCACAAAGCGCCATTATTCAAAAACAAATAAATTGCCATAACTAAGCTCCACAATAAGATACACACCTGTTATTTGGTACACAGGATCACATTAGGGAGGGGCATCTGCAGTTAAAATTTTTTTTTTAAAGTGGGCGTGGTCCCTTCTCTAATAGGGTAAATGTGCATATCTGCTAAACCGCTAATGCTATAATAACAAAGTTCGCTGGAAGCAAATGTTTTTAGCATTCTATTGACGGTTTGAAAATAGTTGAAATCGGGTGGCAACTCCGCCCACTCCCCATATAACGGTACTGTTAAAAACTACTAAAAGCGCGATAAATCAAGCACTAAACACGCCAGAGACATTAAATTTTATCTCTGGGATGGTATGAGATGACTTTATAGGAACCGCGTTCAAAATTAGACAGTGGACGTGGCACAGCCCACTTTTAGGTGAAAACCCATATCTTTAGATCTGCTTAACCAATTTGGTACATAACGTATATCTTGGGATCTGCTTAACCGATTTCAACCAAATTCGACACATAACATCGTTCTTATATTTCTATGTTATAGTGCGAAAATGGGCGAAATCGGACTACAACCACGCCTATTCCCCATATAACACCATTTTAAATTCCATCTGATTCTTTCACTTTCCACTATACATATCAAGCAACAATGATTATATCGGGGTAAAACTTTGCGTGAATAATACGTTTAAAGTATGCCACCTTGTGACCAAAAATTGTCTAAATCGAACCAAAACTGTTCAAGCCCCTAAGTACTAAATATGTGGACCCCAGTGCCCATAGTTGACCTTCTACCGAAAATATCAGCCAATCCACAAAGAAATCTCAAACGAGTATACCATTTGGCTTTGCGAGAGTATAAAATGTTCGGTTACTAGGTTACCGTTCCTTACTTGTTTATAAAGAATTTTGTGCTTGTACAATTTTGTTCTGAGGTAATTTTGCGAAAAACTAATTTTTTTACATTTGACCTCGTACCAATTTTTTTCGCACACACCGTAACGATGAGGACTTTTGAGATTTCTTTTATAATTATGTTTTGAGCAATTTTGTCGAGTTTCAGCTTCTTATGAATTTTTGTAACCTTTAATGTGTAAATTAACCGAACGAAATGTAACAAATATATGTTAAATTACAATTATTGTTAGCTAGTGAAACATCGAAATAATTCATATTTCATATTCCTACTACTAATTCTGCAAACTAAACAAAGATTAATCTCTCAACACAATGGAGAGTACAATATTTTTGGTCAGTCTGTCTTTAGGAAATGGTTTACCCACGCGAGAACATGTCACATAAAGTTGTCCGTGGGAAAAACAAGGTGAGAGAATGTTAATGATCATTACATTCTCTGGTCGTATTGTGAAGAGTGTCCAAGGAAAAGGCTCCATTTTGAGAATGTAAAAATTTATAGGGAAAAACTAATTCAACTAATTTATACTTTGAATTCTCAAGTATTGCATATTTTTATCATATAAATATACAAATGAATTTAAGTTTCAAACTTTGAATTATAATGTAAATGATTTTAATCGCATAAATGTACAAATTAATTTAAGTTTTATACTTATTTAGTACTTTTTATTAAAATAAATAAACAAAAAATTAAATTGTACTTATTTTGTATGTGGAAGAATTATATAAAAACAGGCTAGAGTCGTCATACATGCCTAATAGGGTGTAAAAAGTGACTACAATTAGTTTCTTCATAGGACATGCTCAAACAAAAATGAAAAGTTCGATCTATATAAAAAAATCACAAGTAATATTAGTTACATGTTTCTTTGCGACGAATCGAGGACGCATTTTTTGGGCACTTGCAAGGATCAAAGCCGGTTAAATACCATTAGGTGTTGCCAAAACTTTATATTACAAAATGTAGCGAAAGGGTTAAACTTCATTGTTCGACGAAATCGTGAATGGACTACAATCAAATTTGGTATCATATTAACTAATTTGGAAGGTCATAGATTCACTTAGCTTTATTACAATATCTTACTTCCCGTCAGTGAACATTATACTGAAATCATTCTTAAATGAAATACTTGTATATGTGATATAAACACATCCGAAGATGCTATATTTAATGTATTGAGTTGATGTGGAAATCGTCAACCAGAGGATAGAAATTTATAATATTCGGGATATGAGGTTTAGATCAAGACAAATTTCGTTTATATTGAAGGCCAACCATTAATATAATTATATAATTTTCAAGAAAACAGGGGCAGAGGAATGTAAAGACTAATTGCATTAAATTTTGACATTGTTCAGGAATACTTGAAAACTTATTTTCAAGCAATTTTGTATCATATATAAATATCTAGAATATAGTCAACCGAATGTTTCAAAATTCTGAATATCAGTTATATCAGGGCAATTTTATCATACCATTTTATCTCATCCACTATCTTTTGATTTCATTAAAATAACTTTCACATTGGCCGATACATGTGGTATAAAGCCAAATGACACTTTTTAGACACTATTTGTGCAAAGTTTTATCCGAATATCATCCTTGGTGCTTGATTTGTGTACTGAAAAGTAAAAGAATTATATGGAGTTTAAAATTGTGCTATATGGGAAGTAAGCGTGGTTGTAGTCCGATGGCTCGTTACATAGGATTGTCCGGATGTACCGTAATTAGTTGAAATTGGTGGAGTAGGTCCGGAGATATGTAAATGATTTTACCTAAATGTGGGCAGTGCTACGCCCATCGTTCAATTTTGACACCGTTTATTATAAAACCCTCTTGTATCATCCCGGGTTTTAAACCGCTTAGAGGGAGAGGCTACGCAAAGTTTTATAGCTTAATTTGTATTATACACGTATGGTAATTAGAGAGCTTTATATATTTTCGATAAACATTTTATCAACAAAGCTATTATACTAAACGAAACACGGTGATACTTCGAACTTCGTAGGGCTCTATTATATATATATATGTAGGTAGAAACAATCTGTCAATTAATGATTTGCAAAATTAAAAAAAAAAAATACGTGAAAATTCGCTTTTAGGTTAAGTTTTAATAATATAAATAATTGTTTTCAGTTTTATTTTTCAATATAATATTTTATGGATAAATATGTCTTAAATCTGTATACGGCTCCAAAATTTCAAAAAAACATAAACTTATATGTGTCTTGCACATCATGTAGACGGCGTGTCATTGAGTAAATTAACCTCTACTGCCATTAAGGCACAATCACATGAAATGAAGACTTATCTTAATCATAATATTTTTATTTTTAAATATATTGCATACGAAACAGATTCACGTTCTATGTTTTTGATAGTAATCACTTAATTTTTAACGGAAGACTTATATTGAAATATACATATACCTACATACATGTAGGTATTATTGTACCTACATAATAATATAATACATTAACATGTAATACGCAGCTTCATAATAATGTACAATATAACAAATCATTTGGTAATAATATTTATATTAATTTTTAATTGTACGCGTCCTTAGTTATTCTAAAAGATATGGGCATACACATAATTTGAAACAACCAAATGTAGATGAAAGAGCAATTTTGCGCATGTTTCTAAACTCTTTTGTATATAATGGCACGAAACAAAATCAACTATATACAAACGCAAATATATATGTATACACAGAAACTCTCAAATTCTCTTACACTTTATCTTTTTTTTTCGGTTTCAAATTTTCAGCATTGCCCTTGAGTTTAATTTGATCAGATTTTTTCATTGTATTATCCACTTTTTATAATATATAAAGTTAAATTAAAATTTGTTCTAGAACTATAAATTATCTGACGTGCCACTAAAGAGTTGGCACATATGTATGTACTTCGATACTGTCTGTATGATCGTTCCACTTGCTTATGTGTAGTTTACTCCAAGAACTGGTTTTGAAAGTAGATCGTACACAGAAAAAGGTAGCGAGTAAATTAATGCCGAAAGATACATTTTTATTCCACACTAACGAATTCACCACATTATTACCGCAGACAACATACTTGTACATTTGTATATACATATGTATGGACTGACTAGAAAGCACGAAGAGCGAGTCGATATAAATAGTTTATAATTAGAATTCATTTGAATCTGATTAGTATGTAATCTACAATACATACGTACTCGTATATATTTTTATTCTGCAATTCTTCACAAATCTACACAAGCCGTGATAGAAATGAAACAAATATGTGTATGCGTTGAGCTATCACTACTAAACGATGTGGAATCCATTTATATTGTATTAATTCGTAAACAAGTATCAGGTCAATTATTTTCGCTCCTGGAAAAAAAATATTAAGTGGTACCATGCGAAAAATCAGATGAGTATAAAATTTTTAAAATTAGTAATACTTATCAAACATATACACACACTTTTCTTCATATAATCCTTTTAATAGTTTTATAGGTATGTATTTAAAAATCAACCTAATTAACTCAAATGAGGTACAAGGGGTTTAGGCCAAGATCTACCCCTATTCCACTCACATTCAGCGCCAAATCACATTATGTTTACGAAAACATGTCCAGATATTTCATATCACAAATTAAAATCAGCTGGAAATTATGTCGGAAATCACTATATCGGATATATTAAGATAAGAAGAAAGCCTGGACTGACTGCATTCACGTTTGGCATTACTAAAATGTATTCGAATATTTCCATGTAATTTTATATAAAAGTGACTTATTCGGCATAGAGTATGATAGTATATGGGAAACTGGGAAATTCATACACTTTGGGCATTAAACTATAGTATATCTAGCATGTCATACATATAATATTAACTTATATACTCGTACTGCACTGTATAAAGCAAACCAGAGGTTTGAAGTTTTTATATTAGGTATATGAGAGCTAGAGGTAATATAAAATAATATTTACCAGATTTTTAACACAAGGTCACATTATCATCAAGAAAAACTGCTATCTTATTGAAATAAATCTCACCAATTGGACAATGTGGCTCTAAAAGTTATGATCACTATTGCCACTATTTATGGACGGTATACCTTAAAAAGCAGTATTTGCACAAAGTTTTATTCTGACACCTTCATTGGTACTTTGTAGGGTTGTAGACCAATTACATTCATTTTAATTTTCGTCTGCAAATCATTATTGCCATCTTTTCTGTAAAATTTCTGTTTTTGACGCACTTTAAGCAGGCTTCAAATTAACTTTTGTTTGGGCGGTAGACATTGGTATTATTCGAATTTAACCATTTTAAAACTGTATAAAAACGTACCGGATAACACCTACTATTTAAACATTTTAAATCACAGATTCCCTTCTTAGTTATAGATTTTTATAGTTTTCCCCTTTGCGGCATTTTATGGACATATGGTCCGATTTCACCCATATGCAATACGCATCTCTTGATATTGTGTCATTTTATAGTCTTTTGATTAACGACATTTTGTGAGCAGGGCAATCGCCCGATTTTGGATAATATATTCCATCTGCAATACCAATTTTCCCTGTGTGCCAAGGAACAAATGTACCCATCAAGATATCTCAATTTATCGCTTGCATGGTCGGCAAAAATCCCCGCAGAGCCCTCCCGGAGGATGCCGGCTGGTAATAGATACCACAGTTTCACGACGTAAGCAGGGACGGGCGGTAAAAGTCCGCCCTGTCGTAGTTGTGAGAAATCTAGCTAAGGTCAGACTTCTTACCTGGGTGTTCGATGCTTCTCAATAGCACAGCATACAGTTTACTATGGTCGGGGGAGCAAAAAAGGGCTGGATCAAGGGTCATGCGACTCGTGCCGAGGATCAACCAGACTGGGAGCCCTAGGAATCTATTGACTGCGCGGAGCAGTCATAACAAACTTTAAGCTTGAACCACCAGTAATGGCTGCGAAGCGATTGAGGTTAGCTGAAGAGGCCAAGCCGTCAGCCAAGAGACCAAAGACAAATTGTGTAACTCCCGCAAAATCGTTTGCCGATGTGGCCCGAAACGGAATTATTATTGGTGTGCTGGATAAAGGAGCTCCCGAAGGAAGAATCCTTAGAGCCCAATGGAAATGGGTGCGATCTGCACTGACAAACGTGGCGTTGGAGGTCCTACTAAACAATCCGAGTTCGCCACAATCATGCACAGATGCCGGCTGGAACCGGGGTCAGATCAATATGATTGCTTGCGACGACGGGAGATCGGTCGCACTCTACAAAGCTGCTATAGCCAAGGTAGGGGAGGCATATCCCTAAGCTAAATTGGTAGTAGTTGATAAAAAGGACTTCTTGTCCAAATCAAGGGCAAGGGTCTGGTTACCGGCTACACAATCGCAGCCGGACCAGATTATGTAGCTCATAAGAGCCTGCAATCCTAATCTACCTACAGAAGGGTGGAAATTTGTCAAGGATTTCGAGGACCCCGTAGGAGTATCTGGCGTGGAGACCAAGGCCACGATGCAGATTCTGCTGTTACTAATAAAGGAGTCAATCGAACCGTGGCGGGGAGATTAATTATGGATTCATAAAGGTGAGAATCACGACTTACAAGTCGGATACCGATGCTGCAGACCACCTAGCATCGGAAAACGAGATGAGCGAAGTCGAAGATCCAATGGAGTCCTCGGGTGATATTGAAAGTTTAGAGCAAGGAGAGTGTTCTGAGCTTGCTGACAGACTCTCAAACCTTAATACTGAGAAAGAGCTCTTAAGTGACTCTCAGGAAGATGTAGATAAAATAGCTTTTAATGCGTTTTCTACAAATTAATCTCCATCACAGCAAACTATCTTCAGTAGCCGTAGTTAACCGCGTGGCAATAGAAAAACCTGAGTTTGACCTCATTCAGTAGCCACGGGTTAATGGAGGGCGTATTTGCTGATTCAGGACACCGAAATATATATGTGCCTAATTGTAAAGGTAAAGTCATAGCATGTATAAAGGTAAAGAAAAACCTTAACGTTTCTATGTTACATCGTTTTAGGGCACAATAGACCATAGGTCGCGGTGCATACCTCAATCACTATCTATGTTACATCGTTATAGCAACCATGGCACAGCAGCAATAAGCTGGGAAACTGGCACAAGTAGTTACCGTCTGGTGTTAAGTTATATGCCATACGAGGAGAAGCATGTGCCACATCTGCTGGTAAAAAAGTTGGTACGGGATAGCGTGACATCCGAGTGCATGACTATTCTTGGATGTGACTCAAACGCGCACAATAAAATCTGAAGAAGCACAGATGTCAATGACAGAGTGAGTGTGTTTAATTGCTTATTAGGCACTAAGTTTATGTTGTGTAACAATTGTATTCTGCCAACGTTTATCACAAGAAACCGACAAGAAGTATTGGATATAATACTTGTGTCGGAAGAACTGCTCAATAGAGTAACCCAATGAAAAGTTTTTGAAGAACACTACTTTTCGGATTACCGATATACTGAATGTATTATTGAGGAAAGGGCAGATAGAGTCAACAACTTCAGGAATGATAGGAAAACGAACTGGCTGGTGCACATGCAAGAGCTGGAGAAACGTATTCCTATGATTCCGCCATTTCATCCCAATAACAAGAAGGATCTCGACATCCTCATTAAACGATTTACGGATTCTTACCGGCAGGCAAGGCAAGGTGGCTAGTCCAATAACACAAAGTAGGGGTAGAATTAGGCCCCCATCGTAGTCTCCCGAACTTAAAAAATTACAGAAAGACTTCAGAAGCAGTTCAATTTATCTAAGCCATCCCAAAGCGAGGAAGATTGGGATAATTATTACAACTCCGTAAGTTCATACAAAAAGGAGGTTAGGAGAGCAAAAATAAATTATTGGAAATCTTTTTGCAATGAATAATAATGGCACCATCGGTACATAGCATTGGATATCTTCAGAAGCCAGGTCACAGCTTGTTGATATCCAGTGAAGAGGGCCTACTAATGGATATCCACTTCCCAGGTAACTCTGAAAACCATACAGTGGAGTATACACAAGACACTGAAGCAGATATAGAATGCACTCCTATAGATATAGTATTAGATGGAAAGCTTCAAGCCCTTCAAGTCGCCAGGACCAGACGGTTTGTTCCTATCTCAATCACAGCAGTCGCAGAATTACACGAGTAGGTCAATAATTTCAACGCTGGGAACATCAATGATGTGCAGATCTGTCCAAAGAGGTACACCTCAAGGAGACGTGTTATCCTCACTTCTCTGGATCCTAACAATGAATAAATTCTTGTTGGATCTAGAAAAGAACGGAGTACATAGTGTGGCCTACCCTGACGATGTGGCAGTTAGAGGTAAACTCCCCAACACTCTTGTCAACCTACAACTAACTAAGCAAACAATTTTAGACGTTATAAATCGTTGGGCCGTATCGTGCGGACTAAACTTAAATGCTAGTAAGACGGAGCTAGTACTGTTCACTAGGAAACACAATACTCCAGAAGTTACGGCGCCAGTATTAAATGGTAGCAGACTAACAATTAAAGATAAGGCAAGCTACTTAAGACTAATCTTAGACAGGAAGTTTTCAAAGAAATCAAACTTAGATGCTAGGGCGAAGAAAGCAACTACAGCACTTTACACCTGCAAAAGGATGATGGGTTCCAAATAGGGGCTAATGCCTCGAGTAGCTCATTGGCTCTACACAGTAGTTGTAAAACCGATCATGACATAAGATATATTGGTATGGTGGCAAATAATGGAGAAGACATACGCGGTGAGGCGTATGGAAAGCATACAAAGAGCAGCCAATATACACATCAGTGGAGCTCTTAGAACAACGCCAAGTCAGGCACTAAACTTCATTTTACATTTACTGTCAACAGACTTGTTATGTAAGCACGTGGCAGCGAAAGAAGCTTTGAGGCTGAGGGAATCCTCCCAATTAGTCGCCTGGAATAATGGGCATTCTATGATATTCAGTAAGTTCCCGTCTCTGCCCACTACCACGAACTTTCGAAATCCAATAGAATTGGAACTAAATTCGGTCACCAATATTGGCTTTCCTACCAGAGAAGAGTACCAGACCACAGCAATCAAAGTAAGCCTTGTTATTCTGACAAAAAGTGTGCTCACAACAAGGAGTATATTTATATATACGGATAGCCAAGCGACTTTGAAATCACTAAAGTCTCCTATAGTTTTGTGAAAGATAGTGCAATAATGTCTTGATATCTAAGAGGATCTAACATCCTACTTCACGGTAAAGCTGCAATGGGTTCCAGGGCATAGGAATATCCCTGGTAATTGCGAAGCAGATGAACTAACCAGCGCAGGTACCACTCTATAATTAGTCTCTGAAAGAGAGGGAATTTTAATGTCTCTGGCCACTTGTAAACATTTACTCTGCGCACATGTTATAAACCTAGCTGAGTCTCGGTGAAGTCAGTCCCTGACTTGCTCAACTAACAAGCAAACGTGGCAGGAATGGAACATGAGCCGCACAAAATAAATACTAAATTTCAAAAGAAATGACATAAGAACTCTGGTAGCTGGATACTGTCTAATTGGTAGACATGCCAGCAGACTAGGTGCACCTTACAATGACTATTCTAGAAGCTGTCAGGTAGAAGAAGAGGAGACCTTAAAACATCTTCGGTCGAGGGTTCCTGGACGGCGTCTCGAAAGTTGCTCACATAAAACTATTTATACTGATGAACTTCATCAGAAGTACAGGTTGGTTCAGAGAGGAAGCAATATCACAGTGGGACTCCTATAGGCTTAAGTGCGTCGTCAGACAGC